TTAAAAAAATTCCTGAAAAAGATGAAATCTCGTGCGCAAAAAGTGTCACAGAAAAACTGCACGCACTTCGCCCACATGCTAAAATTTACATCAAATGAAAGCTTATCGCTTTCTCTTTCGATCTGTAGTGATAGTTTTCGTCATTGTTACCTAGTCCAGTCAGGGCGCAGCAAGTAAAAACGCAAATGAAAACAGCCACAGCATTACGCCTTAACTTTAGACGTGCAAAAAAACGGCTAAAAGTGGTTTAAACTGGGTATTTTTACCACCATTCGAATCGGAATAACGTGTTCTTTCTACTTACCAGGCCATCTTGGATGCCCACTACTTCTTTTAGAACGTGTAGTTCGTTACAAAAGATCGGTTGAAATCTCGCAACAACGCGCGGAACTCTCGCAGCTATTTCGTACACGTTTGGCTGAGCACATAAAGTTCGGGATTTGACCTCATTATCGCGAGCGCTGCGGACTGACTGTAACCTTTAGAGAAAAGTCACTCAAAATTCTTCTTGTCAGTCTTCTTGAGGCAACATTTAAATTTCTTTGAATGGCATTCTAAACTGCATGTATCAAATAACCAAAATGTAGTAAAAACAAACTAATACAAATTTATGTAACCGTTAAATAACCTTTCACTCCACTCTTTCTGAACTGTGTTACCTGGCACTCAAAATAATGTGACATGTACCTCAGACCTTATTTCAAAATTCTTTACATTTTACAATTGATATTAATGCCAACCTTTTCTATTGGTGCAGTTTTTGTGGCAAGCTAAAGGATGTGCCAAAGCAGCTCATTTGAAGCAAGGTTGTGAGATAGTTGTGAGCTATCTACCTCTCAGTCATGTTGCTGCACAACTCTTTGATATCTACATACCTTTGGTCACCAGCGGAGCAGTCTACTTTGCCCAACCTGACGCACTCAAGGTGATTCAGATACATGTTTCTGGCATGCTAATGTTTGGATTGAGTTGTCACAACTGAAATAAAAGTATGTTTATGCACACACTGGTACAGTGTCTCTAAATGTCGGTAAGTTGGAAAAAAGTCAAACCCACACTAAATGTTGTAAACAAGGCATTGGTCATTGGTCTGTTAGTCTTACCCTTTACATGCCAGTCTCATTACAGATATCTTTAAACATAACATATATTGTGTAATTTGTAAAGGCACCCCTTATGAGTTGTTGAATTTTCAATCCAGTCAAAGGGTTTGGTTGTGGTTACATACATGTATGTGTAATTTCCATTATCACACATTTGGACTACTCTATACCTTAGCTCAGTCCACAGTACATAGTCAGTGGAATAGTTAACATTTGGGCCGAGTGTTTGAATTGGATATTCCACCAGAGTGATATGTAGTGAATACTTACTGGAAAAAAATCTTGAAATGCTTGTTTTATATTGGGTGCTCTGAGATTTTTGTCATGGCTTACCAGCATGGGACACAAAAGGTGACGGCGGAGGAACCCATGCAGTAAGGGGTCATCCATTTTTGTCATCATTTTCACGAGAGTACAAAGCTTACGGGGGGGAGGTTGAATTGGTTGCGTACTTTATTAGAAACATGTTCAAAATGACGATTATCATGGACCGGCCAACTGTCACCCCCCCAACTATTGCATGAGTGCAGAGAGTGCACAGGACTCTGATACATCATTCATACAAGTTCGGGCAATGGCTGTTTCTTAACCACTCGAGGATTTTGCCCAATGTCATATAAGTACCAGGCAAAATTCACTAACGTTGAGGTCACTGTCACGTGAAACAGTTTTCGAGCACCCCCAAAGCTCTGCTACGCCGTGCGTTGTACATGTACATGTATGAGGTTGGTACCCAGACACAGGTGTATTTTACAGTTTATTTATGTACGCATTTTCCCTTGTGTGGAAAGGTGCCCTGCTAAATGCACAGTGTGCATTCATACACGCAAGTTTGCACATGTACATGTACGTAACAATGCAAAAATTCATTGTAACTGTACAGTTTTTACCACTTTTTATAAGTTTTTGTGAAGAGGAAAACAAATCAAATCAAGGTACATTTTCTGACCGCTATTCTTGGACACAAAAAACGGACACTTTTATTGTAAGAAAAAAGTACCTGTTCTCATATTTTTAATTGCCCAAACTGAAAAAGGAAATTTGTTCCAGGCAATCAGAAAACTGTGAATGTGGAGGCTTGTCATGGACAGTGTTTTTCCTCCTGCTATTATTTTCTGGTCGTCTACTGCACTTTAACAGCCGTACATTGTGAATTAGAATGGGTCCTTACGCACCAAAGAGAAATCATCATTTTTTGGTATTCATTTTGTACTCCTTTAGAAGGGGAGGGAGGCAGGAATAAGAGTACACTTTGTTTTGAAAATGATGACAAATGGATGAGCCCTAAGTTGCTGTCACAGTAGCAGTGACTGCTGTCGCGGTGATGTTATTTTTGGTCATGACTTTGAAACCTTCAAATGCACTCTAGTAGTAAGTGGATTCATTTTCAGTCAGAAACTTCCAGTCTTGTATCAATAAAAATTGAATCAGTAATACACAGTGCCAGTGGTTTCCCTTGAGATGAAGCCTCTCATGCTGATGCAGAATAGGTTATAAGCAGTATAGGTTATAAGCAGTGTTGTAGGTCTTGAGACTGGTCTTGGTCTCGGTCTCGATAGGTGCGTTCTTGGTCTTGGTCTCAGTCCCCTTTGGTCTCAATATTATATCTGATCTCATGCCGAGACCAGCAATATGCAGCATTTACATGTACTTGTCACATTTTCAATCAATTACATGTACTTTGTGTTTGCTTTGAATTTTTTTTATTTCAATTGACATTTAGTGCACTTGGTAATCTCGGTCTTGGTCTTGAACTATCTTGGTCTTGATCCCTCTTAAAGTTCTTGGTCTCGGTTCCTCTTAAACTTCTAGTCTCAGTCTTGGTCTCAGTCTCAGAATTAAGACATTCAAATGATAAACAGTGCAGTCAAGTTTGTTTAACACTAGGGAAATACTACTAATGTCCCTTCCAACCCCAAACCTGTGTGTGTCATACATGCCTGCTGTACAATGTGCCAGTATGTATTTGTAGATTTTGGCTATGTTTTGGTAACTCTTTAATCACAGCATTTATATTTGTTGTTTAATCTGTAGGGTACCTTAGTAAACACACTCAGAGAAGTCCGTCCTACAGGGTTTATTGGAGTTCCTAGAGTATGGGAGAAGATACAAGAAAAGTTGAAGTCCATTGGTGCCAACAATTCTGGTTTGAAGAAGAAAATATCTGATTGGGCTAAAGACATTGGACTGAGAGGAAACATCGCTCTGGAGAAACGGTGAGTCATGAGGTCAAGATGGTCAGTGAAGAGAAGGGGAAATGATAGCAGAATATCGTCAATTACACATAACACAAGCCAGGTTTTTGTCATGTCACTTGGTTACTCCACATTGTAAGAAGATGGAGCCCTCTCCTCATGTACATATATCTCAAGAGGATATTAATGGAATGATTGTTATTCATTATCATGTACATGCATTTAAATAAATATGCCTTATTTGTGACATGGACCGTGACTGTCCTTGAATCCATTTGAGTTGTTTACCCTTAAATGGGAAGGTTTATGATCCTACAGTTTTGCATATTCATCTGGATTTAAAAATACATTTCTGTCCATACATGTGCGTTGGAATGATTCCTTGGAACTTAATGAGGTTATGCTTGTAATTGAATTGTTCTCCATCGATTCTCTTCATTCCTTGTCCTCTGAAGCATTTTTAAATGTTTGTCAGGGTTTGCCCTTCATTTCAACTGGCAGACCCAATATTGCATTCCCTGAAATTTTCATGGAAATACACTGTAATTGGAATAATGTGGAATATTTGGAATTCTGTGATTAAAGAAGGACACCGTGCTGTGTTGCCTATGTGTAGTGTAGTGAGTCCCGCAGTGTTTTGATCATTTTGATAGATCCTGATAGATCAACTTGCTTTGATCTCTCAGTCTTTCTGCCAAGGGGTAAGTTTCTGGTCCTCGTAATCAGGCTCATCTTACCATCATAGCTTCCATTTCCTCCTGGGCTGGTTTGCCAAGACTGCAAGGATTTCTTTTTGTCACTGGCATTCTTTGTATTTTGCCCTCCAATTTTGTGACCCCTGCCTTGACATGTACACGTATGTGGAAACAGTCACCGCACAAATGAGTCAACAGCATTGCAGTATTTTTTCAAAATAACAGCTTCCGTGTTTGCAGTAATATTAGTGACCAACAAAACAGGATTGGTCACAATTTCTTACACCTGTCTGAGAAGGCATATTAAAGTGGATTGCTTGTAATAATGTCTCTTTTAATATGTTGCCGCTCATTGACATGCCAGTGCATTGGAGTATAATCAGCTGAGCTGGTGGCAATATATATGGGGAGCAATCAGGTATTTATCCATTTGCTGTTCTTGGGTTACACATTAAACGTGTCCATAGTTCTTACTTTTTTGAAAGGTTTATGTGTGTTATTGCATGCAAATTTTAATTCAGTTTTTGCTGAGCTCCTACAGCAATTGTATTGTCCAGAGGATAGTCGTGATAATGGCATGATATTTTGTTTTATTTTGATTATTTTCATGCGTTATTCATTTTGAATGGATCACATTGGTTTGCAGTCTACACCTTTATCAAGCTGCGCCTATTAGGACCTTCAGTAAATGCACCAATATTGACAAAAATGTCAGTTGTCTACAGTGTTCACTTTCCCATCGCATCGCATTTTGCAACACAATATCAACCAAAGGCTATTCACTTTGTAAAATAAACTGCACTTTGTACGAAGCAAAAGAAATGTACATGTACACAGGGCTTTTTCCAATCTCCATGCTGACATACTGGTAGATGCATGAAACAATTTGATTTACACATACTGCTGGGCACATTGTCCTTTGAAATACACAATATGCAGAAATCCAGTCTGTGAGGAGCAGACTTCATTGGTTCCCATGCAACTTGTGCACACTTAAGATACCCAAAGTAGAGAAACATTTACTCTCATGCATTTTGCAAGCAATGCTCCATGGTGTGCAGGTAGCATGTAGAGTACTGGTACAATGACGGACTAACAACATGCGGACATTGTTTCATTGATCACAGTCGGACATTACGTAAAGTTTTGACTGCTGAATGTGTCTAATAGAAGTTGAAAGTGGTGCAAATGTAAAATTAATTAATGGAAGTATGAAAAACAAGTTCAACTGATACACGTACAGAATTTTAAAAAACAGAGAGGGATGTTTCGTTTTGGACTAATGTGACTTATGCTAAGTTACAGAAGATCAATGCACATGTACAGCATAGTGCATCGTGTGCTGCCAAATTTTAATGTACATATGGTACACGTACCTCTCATCAGGAAATCATCGCAAGCCACACAAGAAATCCAACACAAGCATTTACACTTTTTCTTGCAAAATAAAAGCAACATGTAGATTCCTTCGACAGTACAATGTAGTTTCTCAGAAAAATGGGGAAGGATACTCGGGTGTTTTTTGCCATTGGTGTTCATTATGTGCAGCCAGTTTTAGTCAGCTCCTGTGTGCAGGTATTTTTACCCATATTTTCAGGTACTTTATGCCTACTTTACCAGCTTTCACAATTTTCTAGCCCTTAGACTGAGAATCCACTGACATTTCAAAGATGGATTTGCGCCGGGGAGATGTGAATTTATTTTGAATTTTTGCCCTGCCCAACATGTATTTTAACACTGTATGCTCAGTGTATGCCCCCGAAGGCTTGTGAAAAAACCACAAGCGTACTCGGGTGGGACTCAAACCCACGACCTCCTGCTTACTAGTGCAGACATCTTAACCACTCGACCACCGAGCTTGCCCGTGTTGGCTGGCTGGTTCGAAATCCACTGACATCTCTGATTAGGACATGATTAGAAAAGCTTGATTTGTTTGTTCTGAATATGATTTGAAAGACCATTGTTGACGATTGTGATGTTTGCTTTATTGTATTCCTTTGTTCTATATTCAGTGATTTCGTGCAATTGCTTGTGATAAAACACTGCTACACAAAACTAGGTAATTGTTCTGCATGCCAAATTTGAAGGAATGCAAACACTGGTTAGACATGCGCATTTCGGTTGAATCATCCTACCCTAGTTGTATGTGACCTTGTTCAAATCTCAACTCCTCATTGTGGTGAAGATACAATCCACTGAATGGAATGGCCCAACCTTCTGTTTATGTTCTCTCATTTGTGTCTGCGATTTCACTTCAGAAACCTTTGAACATCAAAGTTACAAAAATAAACTCCATATACGGTACATGTACAATTGTACATGTACCTTTTGTCATTAACCCAAGGATTTCCCTAGATTTGGGGATTTAAGATTGCTAGATAGACCTGTAGACAAGTATACAGGTCCTGTATGTACATGTATGTTTACATTGTTAACCTCACACAGGGATTCATAACATAATTACTTTTACTTGACTCGTTTTAGGTAAGTCCTTTGGGTAAATGCTTCAGTAGTGACATCATGTACACTTTTAAAAACGTATAGTCTTAGAAATCTATGCCGACAAGATTGAATTGATTGCAGAATGTTAATGTTATGTTGTACAAAACATGGTTCCCCTAGGGTACCACCAAAAAAGCAGGTTTTCCCTCGCAAACAAAGTCAGCCAAACACATGGTTGAAAACTAGGCATAATCATAATACATGTAGCCTTAAAGGTAAAAAGGGGAAGGGTTCATGGGACTAATGGCTCGTCCCAAAAGAGGACTTTTGTGTCCATAGAAAGGTCTTCTTTGGATATAACATTCGTATAATTTTTCCCAGAGGTGTACAAAATGCCCACAAATTTACTCTCCCAAACAAGTACCTGTAACACCTCAGAAAGATCATGAAGATTATGAAGAAATCATCACCTCCATTTCTGACACATGTACCGTCAAAATTGTGGAGCCAAATAGTGGAGCAAGTGAAAAAGAAAGTAATGAGGGTAATTATAACCTGCAGGGTTTAATTGTCTCTAGTGTTTACTCTGCATACGTCATACAACTCCTAATTTCATTACCTCCAATAACATTCTTAGCAATTCTTAGGTTTGGAGCTGTGAAGTTATCAGAAGCATTTAAATGTCATTACTTTCACAAGCTACTGTATCATTACACAAAACCGCCGTCCAAACTGTGCTGCTACGGTGTATGGGCCAAGGATCCATTTTATCAGGGTACTAGAATTATGCAGTACACATGTACAAGCAGATGTCAGATGTGCCCACAATAGCCATGAACTGTTGAATCATGTGGTGTAAATGTGGCATACATGTTATGGTTCTTCATGGGAAGGGGATGCATGTTAAGTATTTATGCAAATTTTTTTTAGAATGGTATTTACATGTAATTTGTCTGCTGATTGTTTGAAGTGTCTTCATATAAAGTGATAGTTTGTTACCTCACCATTTTTTCTTTCTTTCCGGTGTTTATGTCATGTTCATCAGAAATGCTTGGACATTTCATGCTTTTTTTTTTTTCATTATTTTTTATATTCATGAAGCATGCTCCTTCCACATGGTACAAAAACCATTGGCTGTTGGACTTGGCCAGGAGCATAGCTTGGGCTTTCACTATCAAGGCAACTTTTTCTGCTTTGTTCAGATTTCAAAAAGTCAGGGATCAACATCATGTAGAGTTGAACCCTGTAACTGCATATTGTTAAAGAACCTTCATTTTGCAAAAAAGGGTATTCTTACATTAAAACTGAATTCTTTGTTTTTGCTACCAGGCGGCCTTTGCCATGGGGATGGACGTTGGCTAACCTGATGGTTTTCAAGAAGGTACCGTTTGATGTACATGTATTTGAATGAGAAATTGTGAATGATCTTAGTAGTCGACATAATATCAGACATTATTTATTCATAATATGCTGCCTTTTTATTATTGGGCAATGTCTTCAAGTGCTTCATGGTTTCAATCCATTACTACTATTACCATTATTATTAACACTCATATAGTGCCTTATTCCTTAAGGCTCTAAGGTGCTTTACAATCAGGATCAGAGATCAATTTTATGCAGAGAGATCAGTGCACTCTATTCTCTAGTCTTTACTGACACCTGTTTACATGTATACTCATTGGGAGGATAGACTCAAGATGAGATATACATGTACAAGAACCAAAGCACTGTTATCCATATTGTGTTATCAACTCTAATTCAGCTACACTGTCACACATTTGAATATAGTGCTGTACACAAAATGATAAAGGATGGGGATAGACAGAAGAAAACACTAGCTCATGTGTAATGAGCCAGGTCAGTATTTCAACAGTATATGCCCTTCATAATGAAACATGTTAGAACTTGGAGGTCATGTGCACATGTGAGGTTGGTGCTATCAGCATGGCTGTACATGCTAACTCACATGTGCTGATCAAGTTTGAGTTTGTATTCTTTGTTCTGGAACGACCTTTGTCTTTCTGAACACCAACCTGGCTCATTCTCTCTGAAGGATGTAAATGGCTTTTTTACTGTGACCAGAATGTTGTGCTTTCAGGTTCGTCATGCTCTGGGATTGGATCGGTGTTTCTTGACCTTCTCTGCTGGTGCACCGATAGCAACAGACACACTCAACTACTTCCTGAGTCTCAATATCCCTATCTATGACATATATGGAATGAGTGAAAGCTCAGGTACATGGACCAGTGTTTAGCATGTTTTTATTGACACAGATAGTTTTAAAAGGCTTTTTATCCCTGACCCTCCTCAATCCTCCAAATCCTTTGGATGGTTTGAAGGATTTGGGAGGATTGAGGAAGACGTAAAATTATGTGGCTGATTGCAAAGGATGCATTTATGCTCCACCATGCCTACAAATGAAATCCTCCATACTGCTCCAAGATACCAGTCGCACTGCCTCGACATAATGACAGGAATTATAGGAGGATTTTGAAAGGTTGAGGCAGTGGGCACCCCTCAAAGGAGCATATTCAAGAAATAAAGGATTTTAGAGGATTGAGGATGAATGCAATTTTTTTTCATGGACAATTGGGAGATTTTGGAGGATGGAGGATGGTGCCAAGCAAAAAGGCCTAGAGGTTAGGGTGAAAGGGTAGCTGTGATCAATTTGTTTTAACATAACCATTCAAACAAAAACTCTTTTTTTTTCTGGGTTAAACTTATTGTTAACTTTTGTTTTGACTATTTCAAAGGGTACCTTTTTGGTTGTTATGGCAATGAGTATTTCCATATTTTTGAGCAAAACTGTGATGTTATTTCAGGAGAAAAGCCTCAATGCTACTTCAGTTTGTACACAAAAAAAGTTCTGCATTTTTGTTGATATTGCTGGACTGTTTATTTTGCCTGATAAGCATAAATAACCACTTGTGATGGCAAATGAACCGGTGAGAATGGGGCCCTCAATCATGAATATGTGTGGGGTGTAATAATGTTGATATACCTGTAGATCATTACAAATATAAAGGGAGTTTTCCCACCTCGTGTTTGTGTTTGGGGCATTATTTCTAACATTGGAATCTACTTGTACAGGTACATGTAGGTGTGGAATATTTGAACTACATGTAAGTGAAACTATGTCCATCTGTGAATCAGTATCAAGTAGTTGGATGTTCTGCTAGCGAGAGCAAGACTTTCTGTTGAGTTAAAAACTCCAGTAGGGGGGGATAAAGTTAGGCAAAGACATAGGTGAGATTTGACCAAAAAAAACCTATGCAGGTAGCACTGTCCTATTGACATACATGCAGTATCCTTTGTAAAGACCCTTGGTACCACTGTGTGTTCCACAATCTGCAGGTCTTTCGTCCTGCCTACCGTTCTCTGCATTGTTCACTTGGCTCACACTGTGTACACCAGCATCTCTTCTCTAAAACATTTAGCAGTGATCTGAGTCTTACAAAAATGCTTGGATGATGTCATGCTTTTTCTTTGCCCATGCAGGACCTCACACTATATCTGTTCCTGACTGCTACAAGATGGGAAGTGCTGGGCATTGCCTCAAAGGAGCAAAGACCAAGATACATGAACCTGATCAGGATGGAATTGGAGAGGTACATGTAACATGTAGAACTGCAGCTCTAGATTCTATGGAGTTTTGGTTTACTAACTGGGCATAGAACACACCCCTAACTTGAAAGGATGGATAGCATTGTGTCTACTGTAAATTGTTTAAACTAATTTCAATCACTCATCTGTTTCTAGTTTTCAAGTCTTCATCAAAGCCCTGCCCTCAGCTTTTAGTAGTAACTGTGCAAAATTTACATAATGTAAAACAGAATCACAGGAACAGGTATTTCTTTAGGCTTATGGGACCATGCCATCAGCCCTCTGTCCGTGACGTCTACACAAGTGAAAAGAGTTATGATGAAGCTACCTACCTCTAGTCAGGTGCCTTGACTTCATTGAAACACTGTTTGTGTCTGTGATCCAAACATTGCATACAAGACTTGATGGTTAATAGGGACCCAAAATTCATATGAAAAAAAATGACACAAGAAATTGATAATTGTTGATAGGTGTGTTACCATGGCCGCCATGTATTCATGGGCTACCTAAATATGGAAGAGAAGACAAAAGAGACTACAGATGAGGAAGGTTGGTTACACTCTGGTGATCTGGGATATGTGGATGACAAGGGATTCTTGTACATCACTGGCAGAATCAAAGGTATGCTGCAGTATTAAAGAAGCTTTGAAGATTTGTTAACTGCTGTGATGTGGAATGTGGAAGTTTTTGTACGATTGGAGGTTGATGTACGCCTTTTAGGGAGTAAAAAATGGATCTCATATCAGAGCAGTCAACATTTGTTACATTGTGTCGGAAAGTCACAGACTTACTTGTGTGAAACATAATGATTGAGTATAACTATCAGTTATAATGAGGAAGCGTTGGGAGCAAGGAGGGTCCTGACCACCACTCCTCCTTCTTCCATCAAGATGTATTGCCTCCCAAATATTCTACAACTGCTTCGTTAGTCCTTTACAATGTAATGGCCATACTGTCTAAAGGCTGGTTCATACTCCGGTCAGTTCAAAACCAAAGCTAATTGGATGTCACTCAACTTTTGCAGCCAAATTTGTATGAGCAGAAACATGTTCAACTTTTGTGAATTTGCAGTGTGAATTCTGATCTGACATCACAACTTTGCATTCATTTTTGCCTTTTCACTAAGTGTGAAGTGGCCTTATAGTGTGATGTGTGTAGACAGGAGTCCATTAACCCTCCTTTGGTTTTACAGCACAAATGTGCACAAATGTCCACAGTCACTGGTGAGCATGT